TAGAAAATATTCGTTATATGTACGTTCACTTTGAACTGGCAGATTTAGTAATATATCAGTTTCGTGGTAATATATTATATTGTAACGTGAAGGGCCCAGTAACACGCGCGAGAGCCCTGGACGCGAGGAGCCACTGATTGGACAGGAAGTTACGAAGAAGAAAGGCAGGCGGCGCGTTAACAGAAATCAGACATATTGTGAACATTGCCATTGTAAGACGTATAGTACGAGAAAAGCAGCAATTACATAGTTTCTCGTTCGTTATTTGTGCAACTTTTATTCAGAGTGTAAAATCCCTTCTGCTTAATCCTCTCGGCGACTTCCTCGTCTATTTCACGGAACCTTTAAATCATAATAATTGTAGTGAAGGCGACGCTACAAATTGGCGCCCAAACAAGAGGCAGAAAATTCACGACGAGAGTAAGTGCCTCGAAACCAAGACGTCTTCACTCCCGAACGAGCCGACACGACCGACGACACGGTCGCAAACACGGTTGCAGTTACGCATACCTCGTAGGACGAGTATGAACGCAAAGATTCAGGACAGGGAGGTAAAAATGGCGGAAGAACGCAACACAGGTAACACCGTTACATTAACGAACGAACAGTTCGCTACGCTCATACAACAGATACAGATATCTGCTGCGAACGCACCGGTCGCGAATATCGTGCAGCCACAAGGTAATTTCTCGCGATGCACCTCCCGCTTCGACGGAAACAAATCGTCCGATGTAGAGGCTTTTATTGACGCGATCAGTACGTACAAAGAGTGTACGAATACACCCGATGAAAACGCGTTGAAAGGATTACCGATCCTCCTCACGGATCTCGCCGCGACGTGGTGGCAGGGCGTTAAAGGCACTATCAATACGTGGAATGTTGCGATAGAAATATTGAGACAAGCCTACGGCCCTAAAAAAGCGGCATATCGCGTATACAAAGAACTTTTTTCGTGCGAGCAAGGAGAAGACGTATCGACGGACGTATTTGTGTGCAAAGCGCGCGCGCTACTCTCGAAGCTTCCATACGACGCGCCTTTGTCGGAAAACATTCAGCTTGACATGATTTACGGGCTGCTAGCATATAAAATCCCGCGAAAGGAAATACCGCGTGAAAAAGTCACGTCCTTCGCAGAATTAGTGGATCTCGCGCGCGAAGTCGAAGAAATTAAAGCGGAAAAAGACGTAATACCCAAACAGCAAGCGTCATCACGCAAACATGAAAATCGCCCACGTTGTAAGTTTTGCAAGAATTTCGGACACACTACGGACGAATGTAGAAGTCTCAAAAAGAAAAACGAGGAAAACCCGAACGCGTCGAATAAAAAAAGTAAAGACGCTAATTCCGACGTCGCACAAGCAAACGACCAACGCGCTCTACCCACCGTAACTTGTTTCGGTTGCGGAAACACCGGGTATCTTCGTAAAAATTGTCCAAAGTGCAGCAAAGCCGATAAAAATTATAAGAGTGAAGAAAAGTCCGATTTTTGCCTCGTGGACGCGTCGGAAATACAAGCAACGTATAAGAAACGCCCAATTCTCAACGTAGAAATATTAGGCGCAAAGGGAACAGGATTAATTGATACGGCCGCGAAAATGAGCGTCGCCGGACATTCTCTTTATAAAATACTCATTGAAAAAGGACAAAAATTTGAAAAGTCAAATCCGTAGGTATCCAGTGCGTACATTGGATTAGCCGATGGTACGCGTAGTGAAGAAAGCGTGTGGGTCACCAAAGTCGACATTCATGTAGAGAATCGTACGATTAACACCACACTTCTAGCAATGCCGCATGCTCATAACTATTATACATTACTCGGCATGGATTTTATCGAAGAAGCCAATATTGTAATAAATATACCTCAACGTATATGGTATTTTGCAGACAATTATGAGCCACACGAACTCAAGTTTGAAGGAATTACCGAAGCAACCGGCATTGTGCAGCTAAATTGCGTCAACGCATTAAGAGACGACGAAGCACCAATCCTATCTCTAGAACAACGCAAGGAACTCGACGCAATACTGGTAAATAACGAAAACATCTTCGCACCAGGGGGAGAGCATACACCGTACGCTGAACACACCATTGATACCGGCGATAGCACGCCGACAGCTACTCATCCCTATAAAATGTCGCAACAAAAGAAAGAAATTCTAGAGAAGGAATTGAACGCTATGCTGGAAGCTGATGTTATTGAAGAATGCGAATCTCCATGGGCCGCTCCAGTAGTGCTCGTGCCCAAGAAAGACGGCGCGGTACGAGTCTGCGTTGATTACAGACGTCTAAATGCTGTGACCAAGACGGATCCTTACCCGATGCCCAGAATCGATGAACTGTTGCATCTCGCGAAGAGAACGCTTTTTATGTCGACCATCGGCCTTCGCTCAGGATATTGGCAGGTAAACGTAAGACCCACAGATCGAGATAAAACAGCATTTACGACACCGTTTGGCACATTTCGCTTCAAACGAATGCCTTTCGGCCTGAAGAACTCCGGTGCCACCTTTCAACGACTGATGGATCAATTCCGAAGAGGTCTGAAAGATACCACGGTATTAATATATCTAGACGACATAATCGTCATTTCGAATAGCTTTGAGGAACACATAAAAGATTTGAAGAAAGTATTCGATCGCCTGCGCGACTTTAAATTACGCGCCAACCGTCAAAAGTGCAATTTTGCGTGCTCATAAGTAAAATTCTTAGGCCACATAATTACCGCCGAAGGAATTCAGCCAAACGACGACAAGATAACAGCCATATTAAATCTTGCTCCGCCGAGAAACATAAAACATCTACTCACATTCCTGCAAACAGCTTCGTGGTTTCGAAGATTCGTTCCAAACTTCGCAGAAGTCGCTAGACCATTGACGCTGCTAACCAAGAAAGATACTCCGTGGATATGGAATCAGGAACAAGAGAATGCCTTTACGGAACTAAAAAAGGCTCTTACCCAGGCTCCCATACTCAGACAAGCAGATGACCGATTACCGTTTATCATACGAACGGATGCCAGCAATTACGCAATCGAAGCGATCCTCGCCCAAGGAGAAGGAACCGACGAGAGACCGGTGGAATACGCCAGTCGTTTGTTAACCGCAGCCGAGCGCAACTATTCGACTACAGAACGCGAAGCCCTCGCTATAGTATGGGCCGTTGCTAAATTCAGAGGTTACATCGACGGCGCCCGGATCACAATAGGCACGGATCACCAACTGAAAATGGTTGAAATGGTTAATGGGTCTAAAATCGCCATCGAGCCGATTAGCCCGTTGGGCACTAAGTCTCCAAGAATACGATCTGCACATCGTATATGCACCTGGAAAAATGAATGTAGTTGCTGACACGCTGTCGAGACCACCGTGCAAGGGCGATGATCAACACGATTGTGGAATATGCACAGTCGCCATCGATTTACCTTCGCACGGAGCCGCCGAATTGAGAGAAGAACAGTTGTCAGATCCAGAGGTCAAAAAGATTATAGACGCATTCGAAATAAAGGACGACCTCAACATCGCAAATTGGACCTCCCGAGGATATATAATGTCAAACGGTGTACTGTATCGGTATACACCTACTGAAGACAACGAAGAAGCTCAATGGGTCGCGCCGAAATGCGCTATAAAACGTATTTTGTACGAGAATCATGATTCACCTACAGCCGGACATTATGGTGTAGATAGAACGCTCAAACAAATCTCTGGTAAATACTATTGGCCAGGAATGCGCAAGACAATAGCCGATCATGTCAAGAAATGCATAGAATGCGAAAGGTATAAGCCATCCAATATGAAACCCGCCGGTCTGCTAAGAACTCCAGCAGCAGCAAGAAGATTCGAAACATTGGCAATAGATTTATTCGGACCACTGCCAATCACAGCCGAGGGATATCAATGGATATTTATCGTCGAAGACGTCGCCACAAAATGGATCGAGCTATTTCCGCTAAAACGCGCTACAGCAGATGCCTATGCAAAATTATTGATAGACGAAATCATAGATATGGAATCCCACGTCATGTAATATCAGACAACGGACCTCAATTTGTCGGAGCCGTGATGCAACAAGCGTCGTATTGCTTAGGTTTCGACCAGTCTCTGACCCCGGTTTACCACCCGGAAGCAAACCCCGTGGAGAGGAAAAACAGAAACATGAAGGTACAGCTGTCAATCTTAGTAGGAAACTCTCACACCGAATGGGCCAGTAAACTCCTTTCGATTAGATATGCCATGAATACCAGTGTATCACAGTCTACTAAAAACACTCCAGCTTTCCTTACGTTCGCAAGAGAAATGCGTGATTCAGGAGAGATACAACGAGACTTACGCGAAATAGTCATTGGAGAGAACTTTGTTTCAGAAATCACTCCATATCTATTAAAAATAGCCGATACCATGAAAGAAGTAACCGAAACGCATGAACAAGAACAAGATAGGCGCAAATTATACGCAGATTCATCCAGACGACCAGCACAGATATTTCAAGAAGGCGACCGAGTTATGGTCAAAACACGAACATTAAGCAACATGCCACATGGCATCACTTCTAAATTCGCACCTAAAAGAGATGAGCCTTACAGAATCGCCAAGCGTGTATCACCCACTAGTTATCAACTGGCGGATAATGTAACTGGTAATTTGCTCTCTGTTTATCATGTTTCTGATTTAGATATCTGGAGAAGCGACACGACAGGAAAATCATCCCAGAAACCGGTTAGAACCATCAGGAAGCGTGGCCGACCAAGAAAGGATGCAAACCTATCAACGCCTTCACGAGAAATTGGATCTTCGTTGAGGGCAATTAACAAATCCAAAGGGGAAATCTGTAACGTGAAGGGCCCAGTAACACGCGCGAGAGCCCTGGACGCGAGGAGCCACTGATTGAACAAGAAGTTACGAAGAAGAAAGGCAGGCGGCGCGTTAACAGAAATCAGACATATTGTGAACATTGCCATTGTAAGACGTATAGTACGAGAAAAGCAGCAATTACATAGTTTCTCGTTCGTTATTTGTGCAACTTTTATTCAGAGTGTAAAATCCCTTCTGCTTAATCCTCTCGGCGACTTCCTCGTCTATTTCACGGAACCTTTAAATCATAATAATTGTAGTGAAGGCGACGCTACAATATTAGATAATATCATTTAAAGTATTAAAGGTTTAAATTATTAGGTTACATTATTAGATAATCATTTTAATTCAGAATGGTACAAATTTTTGGGGTCAATTTTCAAAGGATGATATTCATTGGGTTTTTTATTTTGTGATTAGGTAATCGTTTTAATTTTGATAGGTTCAATTTTTGTAGTTTTCATTTACTTTTCGTGGTACATAACATAGAAAATAACATAATGTATGTTCACTTTGAACTGGCACATTTAGTAATATATCAGTTACTTTTCGTGGTCATATATTATATTAGATAATATCATTTAAAGTATTAAAGTTTAAATTATTATGTTACATTATTAGATAATCATTTTAATTTAGAAAAGTTCAAATTTTTGGGGATAATTTTCAAAGGTTGAAATTTATTGGGTTTTCTATTTTGTGGTTAGGTAATCGTTTTAATTTAGGAAGGATCAAATTTTTGCGGTTAGTTTTCAAAGGTTTAAATTTGTTGGGTTTTTTAATTTGCGAGGATCTATTTTTGAACATGGCTTGACCTTTTCATTTTAATGATATGTTAGGATTAATAATATATCAGTTACTTTTCGTGGTTAATATATTATTATTAGATAATCATTTAAAAGAAATAGAAAAATGCCTAATCGAGTCTTGTACACAGGATGTTAATGTGTGTTGATACGATTTATTGAAAATATAAAATTTTTCTTACGTTTCGATCCTCGGTTTGGATCCTTATCAGAGAACTTCTAATATAGAATACACATTGTGCTACCTAGAACACTTTATATTAAAATGTACCACGAAAAGTAAATGATAGATTATTCAAGATGCAAATTCAAAATGAACATACCTACATATAAGTAAAACAGATTACAATAAAAATATTACAGTGTTCTAGAAAATAACTGCAACATACATAAAGTATATTTTCTATGTTGAATATGTACCACGAAAAGTAACTAATAGATCATTCAAGGTGCAAATTCAAAATGAACATACATACATATAAGTAAAACAGATTACAATTTGCATATTACAGTTTTCTAAAAAATTTCCGCAATATGTTATCAGCCAAAAGTTGCATTTTCCTCCTCACCGCTCCGCGTGCAGTCGAAATGTCCCATGACAGTCGAATGGTATTGTTCTGCGTTCGGTGCGGTGAGGTGAGGGGAACAGCAAAATCTAGACGAAGGCGATTCGAAAATCAGCTGAAAGTTGCATTTGCCCAACCCTCCCCTCCTCATCTCACCACGTGCAGTCCAAATGCTCCACGATGATCGAATGTCATTGTTCTACGCGCGGAGCGGTGAGGTGAGGGGGATAGCGAAAGCGAGGCGGAGGCGTATTAATTAACGTGTCGACTTCGGACAATATATTTTTATTTATTGTGATATCGTAGGTATATCTTCGGTGCATTATATTATTACATTATCATATTAATTAAACGATTCGTGCTGTTCAAATCACATTTCAAAGCGATAAAATACTAATTGGTTAGATTTCACTGTTTTAAATAATTTAAAGTCAATTTACTATAGCCTATAAAAAACTATTTAAAAAATGAAGGACTGAGTACCAGTTATGTAATTAACTCTTTAAATTTAATTCTGTAAAGGATTAAACGTTCTTTACCACTTTCATTTT